GAAAGTAGTTATTTCACCTACCAGAAGTAATCTGTTAAGGAACCAATTGTTCATTTGTAATTGAAATATACGAAGTACGCTTGTGGTATCTAAAGGGACAATTGTCATCCCTTTGAAAAAAGCACACGTTCAGAAACTAGCCTCATAACTACTGCAATAAACAGATATGTATATAATAATGGGTCGATCTGAGCTACAGGGTTATGTGTAGAGTGTGAAAATTGTATCCTTATTTATGCTTCCATGGATAGAAATACATTGTATGAGTACGTAACAGAAATGTTTCAGAAGAGTGCACTATGGGAGCCTACATTTGTACAAATGAATACTGCCAATATTGTAGCGATATAATGAACATTTAACGATTGACTGAATATTTCTGTAATATACTTGCAAACTATATGTTAATAATTATGTACTAATATTAGGGCGTCTCAATATTTACTTATAAAACAACAAAAAATTTTTATTGAAGTAAATTTTTCTCATATAAAAGTTACCCCCCTGGTAATTTTGAAGGTGATAATGATTTTTTTTTTTTTTTTGCCCACAACCAACATACAATTGCTCTACTCTATATGCTACGACTGAATGCTTATATGTATTTGTGTTTTATTTTTAGAGTCATTTAGATGGAAAAATTAAATAAACATAAGCTTTAATCGTGTGCAGCAATTATGCAATGATTAAATGCAATTTTCATTGATATTTATACTATTGTTTTCCTCTGTATAAAAATAATAATAATTGCAGCAATATGTATGTATTGTTCGTGTGTAACATTTCAAATTGCAATTTTTCGTTTCATATACATATGCATATGGAATAAAATCCTTTGTTTTAACTTTGAAATGGATTTAATTATTTGAAATTTTTGTTACTAGATTGATTGATGTATTATATTGACGGAGAAATATGAAATTTCAACAAACTCAGCAATGGTAAGGACTAGGTGAATAGGGTTAGGTTGTCTGGCAATGTCAAAAGTGCTACAGATTTTCACTGTCCCATTTGCTTTAATATTTCGCTTGACTATGACATATATCTAGCCTTGTCTAAAATTTAGCCCCCGCAAAATGCACGCTGAACCTGTAAAAGTTTGATATTATACTTTTTGTCCAGGGAAGTCCACCAGATTATTAAAACACAAGTTAGAATTGAACTAATTATAAAAGGACTAAGGCCACATTTCAGTCCTCACCTGCCGTGTTGGCCTATTTCACAGTGGTCTTTTTTAACCACTGCGTGAACTTTTGCAATAACTCACCACCACCCCATTGTGCTTCTTACATGCAGGTGGCAATTTACTTATGTGTCATTTAAGGTACGTGCACTTTGCTCGAGTACTCAAGCATATATCCAATCCCTTGCCTTAGTAGTCCCGTTGGGGAATGATAGGTGTTATGAGTCCAGATCAATCTAACCCCGACAAAAGATCAAGGCAATCACTGGTTTGAGTCGATAGAAGGGGCGGACCCTACATCAGGTGAAAACATGTGATGAGGAATGCTCTGTCCCTACAAACATTCTCTTCATCCAAAAACTCACCGCAGTGCATTCCTGCACCTCAACCACACTACTGAGATGTTTTTTTTTTTTTTCATTCGGCAACAGCACCTAGGGGACGTAAGGTATTTATTACTCTGCAATTATCTCAACCCGTTTCGGCAAACCTTAGTTCACCACCTCCATCGCTCCATCCGACTAACCTCGGATACAACTCAGAATCCATCTAATTAATTAGATACAAGTATCTGATGGTACATCGAACACCAACGCATACCCAATCTTTGCATTAGATTTGTCTAATTACACTTTTATAAAGCCAATATGTCATAGAAGGACTAAGTCCCCATTTCTGTCTTCCCTCGGCCGTATTCAGAGCCTTTTCAGCTCTACACAAGTAATTTGGATCATTTCCCCTTAGAAGCATTACAACATACCAGATAGTCTCAGTGCTCAGTTTGGGTCTTTAGGAGTCTATTAAACCTGTTTAACTGAAGTAAAGGGCAATACATATTGAGTTTAAAACATATCAAGAGAATCAGGAGTCTTTGACTTTGTCCAGAGTACCTTCTTATCTGCAGCAACGAGTACCTGTCGTCTGCGGGCCGCTGAAGACCATAAAACAGCCATCTTAGTAGTGTAGTTTTTTGTTGGCTGTGTATTGAGGTATTAATCCCATCTAACAACTTTATCAGTCTGTTAGACCGGAAATTGTGAGTTCGATTAGCAGCAGAGACACCTATGCAGACTTAGGTATGTTTCTTCGGTTGTGATGTAACTTTAAGTCAACTCTTGAAAAAATGCATAATTCTGAAAACAGCTAACAACACAATCATAAAAGTTGCTATAAACGAATATTTAAAAGGAAGTACATAAAAATTAACCCTTTTGTTTTATTGTCTTTGATAATGAGTTAATGCTTACGCACTTTTTACTTTCAAAGACTTATTTATGCCCCCAACTGTTTGGCGGCGCTAAAGGCTTCTGTAGCCAACAGAGTATTGTCTAGACTTTATGTGGAAACAGTAGTGTTTGATAAGAAAAAAAAAGACAGCATAAAGGACAACAGATCTAAATGAAAATGTTCTTATATTAAGGAGTTTATATATAAAACGATAGAAGTAAAATTAACTAATTTTAATATAAAATGTAACAGCTTTAATTATTAAAAAATATTTTGATAACTTTATAATATACCACATTATATAAAATTAGTTGGCAGTTGAATTTGAAATTATTGGTTAAGCTAAATGAGTCATGATATATTAAAATCATAATTAAGAGATGACTAAAAGGTCTCGTTAAAGAAATGGTTCAAACTTTATTCACGTTTTGTCTAAATTTTACCATTAAATGCATTTCTTTTTATACATTTTATACCAAATAGTCACGATTTTCCTATTTGCTTTATGAATACTGAATCATAATACTTTGATCTTTTTAATAGAGTTGTTATTATTTCAAACTCATGTGAAAAAAAATTTTGTTTGTCTGAAAGAAAATTTTAAGTGCAAGTCATAAAATCTGAAAACCCCCCATAGAAAGTGTGATTTTTTTCGATCATAACCAAATCATGCTCTAAATTATTTAAATATGTATGATTTTTTTAAAATATTTTTAAATGTTTAAGGTAGATTATAAATGAATTAATAAAATGCCTAACATTTTATAATTGTTATAAAATGGATTTTTTTTATTGTTTCAGCTTATTGTAAGATTTCACACAGTCATTAGTTAAACAATAGTTTAAATCATTAGCAATTGTTAGATTTGTATTATTCCCCCAAAAATGCGCTTTCTTTTTAGCTTAAAAGAAGACAAATTGTTATTGACTAAATGTTAATTTATTAGTTTTTTTTCTATGAAGCTATTGTTTAAAACAAAATTATTTTAAATACTAAAAACTCCTACTTAAAAAAAGTTTTACACTTGTTGGTCCAAAATGCATATTTTTTGTAACACTGATGGTCAAATGTTTACTTTTGTAAGTTTTTCAAATGAATTTTTTATTGATTGTTTGTTTTATGGTTTAAGATAATTTCCAACTTTTTTTGTCACTTGTAAGCTGCTTTACTAGTTTTTGTCTTCAAGTTTTAATTTTATTTTGTTGTTATTGTTTTTTGAATATTTTTTGTTTTTTATGATAAATTGAAAATAAGTTAAGCAAATGATTTTTTGATTTTTTTTTTTTTTTATTCCAAATAAATGTGTTGGTTTAATAGGCTTATAAAGACCACCGCTATTGTATTAAGAAAATCAAAAGTGGAAAGAAAAACTCGTCAAAAATAATAAAACATTTAAATCTAAATTAAGACGCCAGCAACAAAAAGCAACTGTCAACATGTATGAATACATATGAACACAATGAATGTCTAGCAACATGTTGCAGAAATATTTTCCCATAACACAACATGTTACTCACCACTTTATGATGATGCTGCTGTTGCTGCTGCTGCATTGATTCTTGTGACTTTAATCATAAACTCAACTTGTTTAGTCAGTCTTTGTTGTGCCGTTAATGCAGCTAAACGCTACAGAATACAACACGCTCGTTTAAATTCTCTAGAAAACAAAAATACACAACGTAAAACAAACACAAATACTCACTTATACTTTTGTATATACAAAGAGAGGTGAATTTCTTTACCACTTCCTTCCGTTTAAAGGATTTTGTTGAACTAGCATATAACAACGGTAAAAGTGGTGTATTTGTTAGTGTGTTAAGAAGTTTAGGCTCTTTTTCTCATTATTTTTAAAAGAGCCGTAATTGCAATCGTTGTTTTTTCTTGGGGTTCGTGTCTTTTATGCCCTAGTCGTGCTATATGTGTGAGGAGAGCTTTGTACGAAAGTGCGTGAGCAAGAAACGTTAGTTTTTAAGTGATGTTTAACGAGTTAACATGTCTTACGTCTAAAAACCGGTAAAATTTTAATTATTTAAAAGAAATTTGAAAAAAATAATAATAAATAATTTATTAAGCCAGAAATTGAAAAAATCTAAAATGCTTGAAAAATAAATGCTATAATTTAAAATTTAGCACAAATTTTTATTAAAATAAAACAGTGGAATTTAAACAACAAATACTAAATAATAATTAATGTGTTCAAACAAGTCTGCTGCTTACACAGCAATCAACACAAATTTATAAAACCTTAACCTAAGTAAATAAAGCCAACAAAAAGGCTTTAAATTGTTATTAAGTAAATTCTAAAAAACCAAAAATTTAAACAAAATCCTTTATATATTTGCCTACATAAAAATATTTGTTTTTTGCTATTAAAAAAAGTTTGTTTTATTTTCTAACCTAAATATAAATATAAAAGGAAAATGTAAAAAAATAAGAATTTTTATTGCCGCATATACAACTTCCTCTCTAGAGCATTTTTTTAGCTTTTTTTGCCAAATAAGGACTACAAAAAAATCTAAGTGCAAGTGTATAACAACAAAAATCTTTAAGAAATAAAAAGTGCAATAACAAAAATTTTAAATACCAGCAAAACAAAATAAAAAGGAATAAAAAGTCATAATTTTTAAAACCAACAACTCCCCACTCCTTCCCAAAAAAAATATATATTTCACCACAAGAAATATGATGATGTAAAAAAATAAAAATTATAACAACAACAACAATAACATCATCAAAAAATATATTGTCGTTGCTTTATAAGGATTATTCTGCCAACAAAATAAATATAAAAAAGGATTATCTCATGCTTATATAAGAAGGACATACTTCTAGTATACAGCTGAACTCATGTTAAAGTAAGTTTGTTTTTTATAAATTTTTAAAATTTCTAAAGGTACAATATATTTTTTAACTGCAAAAAGTTTGTTTAAAATTTTAATGACAGGAAATCATTAAATATTTATTAGCAATTCCATTAAACTAACAAAAATTTTGTTTATTTTATTTTCCCCCAATATGGGGAGAAAAATATTTTTTTTTTTTTTTTTTTGGAAAAGTTTCCTTTTTTAATTATTTTTCTGAATAATTTAATTTTGTTGAAAAACCGGAAGTTTTTTTTCTAGTTTTAATAGATTAATATAGAAATATTATAGAATTAGTTTTGAAAAGTTTAGTTGAATAGTAAAACTAATATATGTGGTATTTTGTTGACATGAAGATTGGAATAAAATACAAAGGGCAACAAGTAAGAAATTATAATCGGGCGAAGTCGACCTTATAATACCCTACGCCAGTTATAAAAATAAAATTGGATTTAGTTTTCAAAAGAGGCCCTATCATAACAAAATTCATCAGGATAATCAAGTCTAGCATCACACTAGGTTTTGCAGCTTTTTGTCGAAATACGAGTATATTACACATAATTATGAACTTAAGAGCCCTATTCGGGGGGTTCAGTGAAATAATGGACCGATGATAACCATTTTCAATAGACTTCGTCTCTAGTACAATAGAAGATCATGTACCAAATTTCATTTAATTATCATCAAAATCGCTGCAGGTCGCAAGGTTTACAAGGACGGACGGTCAGATGGACAGACAGACGGACGGACGGATAATCGACATAGAAAATTATTCTAAGCCGGTTGATTTACTTTAAGGTGGGTATAGGACCAATATTATTGTGCGTTACAAACAATAGCGCAAATAGGGTATAATAAATACAAGTACATAATTGGAAAGTTTTCAAGTATTTCAAATAACAAATATGTATTTCAAATGAAAGGTATCTGGAATATCTTACTTTTGATATACATATTATATTTAATACAGAAAATTCCGTCTGAGTTATATCCAAAATTATATGAACAAATATTTGAGAACTTTTATCATATTTTCTATATTAATGGATCATCTATGCTAATTTCAAATATATTTGAACTCGGAAGATATCAGGAACTATCAGAAAATTGTTTCCAAGAAACAGACGGACAAACAAATTCTAAAGAATGTGACTTTAATCGTAATCAAAATAAAGTACTGCCAAAAATCAATGAAAAAAATCGGTAAAGTATTCAAACGTTCAAAAAAATTTCAAATTTCCTTTTGTACATTACAAAGGCTCTAGAAATAGCTTTCCATTGATATACATATTGATTTTATTAAAAACACAATATACAAGACCGTTAGATATCTAAGACATTCAATAATTACCTAAGAATAGTATTCTGTAAATAAAATATTGTACATACACTCACAAGATTTTCACCAAAAGCTCACTAATTTGATCTGAAATTCCCTCATAAATAGAGAGAGCTTTTCGTGGCCCTTTCACGTTACTAAAATTGTAGCAAATCATTTCAAAAATAGTCTCAATTTATAATTTTCTGATATAGACTATACTCCTTATAGATGTATGACTAACCAACAAAATATATTCTCATACCTTCCATAGCAAACGAATTTAATTGAAAAACTTTACAAACTCCCTTAGAACACAAACGTCTGTTTGATTGTAACCCTGAATCCAGTTTCAATACTATATGTATAGTTAAGTTAAAAATTTAATTTCTAGTTTTAGTTTTTTCACACACAACTTTTATTTACCTTTAGTTTTATATATTTGTTATAGAAATATATACAGCCAGCTTTTTATAGAGAGATTTTCAAACATATATGTACATATATATAATAAATCGTTAAACTTTGAGAGTTATACGAAATGATGGCAAGTTTTTTGAACACAAAGACCAAATTGGGCAGATGTATGCAGGCTATAGAAAATATTCAAGCATTCATGAATTCATTGCTTTTGTAAGCTTTCTATTATGAAATAGTTTTATGAAGAAAATCTTTAGCAATACCTGCTATAGCAGAATATATAAACTATAAATATAGTTATAAACATGCATACAGTTTCGTTGTTTGTTTTTGTAAATTAATATTAAATTTTTTGGCATAGTTTTTGTTGCTGTACTTGCACACATTTCAATCCTTACTCCACGTGCATAAAGGATTTTGGGAAATTGAAAAAATAATATAAACACTAATAAACTTTTAAGTATGTGTGGTAGTATTTTGTAATAAGGAAAATTTTAAACTAACTGAGTGTTTTTTTTTTTCTTTTCTTTCATTTGTACAAATTAATCATATTAATAAACATAGTTCCTTGACCTCTGAAATGGTCCAATTTATAGAATTTGTAGCTTTCTTAAAAGCTTTCTCTAAAGTTCTCTTCATTACAAAAGCTCATTCGATCACGAAACCGACCAAATTGCTCTCTATAAGATAACATCATATGAAAAATGCTTAAGATTAGTGGTAGGCAAACACACCACATGTACATAAACAAAGCTGTTGGAAGAGTAAATTGCTCATACTTTACCAATGCTTGCTTTAGATCAGTGATCGATATAGAATGATAAATTAACTCTAAAGAGAGCATGAAAGCTCATTAGAGAGCTCTGAAAGTAACTCTGCTATAGATCAGAGATAGTAAAAATTAGCTCTGAGAACACCCTTAAGTGGCAGTAAACATAGTTATGTGTAAAAGCAAGAGTGCATAAAAGTTTATAAGAGAGATTTTAGCCTATCACTGTTTTAAATTCCTTCCAAATGTATGGATCTTGCAAATTTCTATATTTAAATATTCTTAAAGTTCATTTTATCGATGTTGTCACCAAATATATTCTTTTTGTTTTACTCTATTTCCATCATGTTCCAGTACTCCTCGCAAACAATCAATTTTCTCGCATGAAAATAAATTTCAAATTGTTTTTCAATAAAACAAGTTTCTTAAAAGACAATTTAAAGGATTATTGACGATTTTTTTCTTTCCCTCTATATCTAGAGAACAAAACACATGTGACCATTTGTACTCGTGGTCCATTAACATGCGTACATGTAAATTGTCCTTTAAACTTTTATTTTATCTATGTGGAAGATAAAAAAAAAACTAAATAAAAACATTTAAAAAGAAAGTTTTGAGTGTTTTTTGTATTAAAATGTCAACAGATTCATTTGCTATTTTTTGGATAAAATTTCTAAGTTCATTTGCGAATTTTCTTGTAGTTTGATATGATGCTTTAGTTTAGAGTTTAAGTTGTTGCAAAACCATACTAAAGTGTAAGTCCTCAATTATAAGCGTATTCATGCAACTGATTTCCTGCTAAAAATACTATATATTGAACTCTAGTAAAACCAAGCATATGTACATACATATATAGAAATTGCTCAGTATTACACGAATAAGAACCAAACTATAAGAATCTTGTCTTTTTATTTATTTTTTAAATCTTGTGCTGAATTTCTTTTATTCTAGTATTTTTAAGCAACTATCTTTACTCAGTCTTTTGTAAAACATTAACGATGCTTAAGTTCCATGAAAAGGAACAAAAAAGCAACGAAAAGTTCAACAACTACCACCACCACCAATATCTATTCTAAATGAAAAAGAACTTTATCCATTGTCAGTAATCGTTTAACTTTTTTTCTTATTTTAAACTTTAGATTTGTTGAGATTTTTTATACCAGATTAGTAGAAATCAAAATATATAAGTAAAAAAAGAACTTTAAAATTGTAAAACAAGCATGAGGGTTAAAAGAAAATAGGAAATTTTAAACTGTTCTTTTAAAAAAGCACAGTTTTTCTACTTACTATTTTGCTTGTATTAGACAAGAATTGTTTAAATAAATAATGTTTTAAAATAATTTTGATTTGTTAAGGAAACTTTTATCTGTCTATCTGGTTTTCAATTATTTAAGTTAAAATTGTTAGAATTGAACAAGTAAAGTTTAGTCTATTTTATCTAAAGTATAACTTATTTTGCAGTGATAAAATCTAAAGAGTAAATTTGAAATGAGAAATAACTGGTCCATTTATTTTCATGAAATACTCTTTAGTCAGCTATAATTGCCCTAAAACAACTATAAATTTCAGTTTTCGAGGGCCCTCTTTCTTATTGCATTTTATTGCTATTTGAAATTGCGGACGGATGGACAAATAGTTCAAATTTTCAGTTTAAAATGTCAGCAAACATTTGTATTCAGCAGAGATTATTTTAGACCATTTTAATCTTAAGCCCTAGTTCAGTTCTAACAGCAAAAGAGCTCTATAACTGATTGTATGTATGTGTGAGAGTAAAAGACAACTAAGCACGGGAGAGTGCTCTTTACCTAGCTCTGATTCAAATGATAAAGCTCATTAAAGGCCGATTATTATTAATATTCCTTGAAAGTCTTTGGCTCACATTGTTTGAGACCCTTTTATTTCGTCTGTTGTCTTAGTTGTTTTCTTGAGTTATTTCAAATTTCAATCAATATATTTCTCTAGCAAATGGTGTTTTGCATTTGTAATAAAAGCAATTGATAGCAAAAAGTATTGATGAAAATTTAAATGATATTGCTTACTCATCTTAACATTTATTGAAAAAAATGTTCTTGCTTATGAAAATTTAATTTGCAATTTATCTCAAAATTGCAGTTATATTACTGGATTTTTTGCTCAAAAAAAATATATAGTATAAGGTAGTATAAAAGAAAATTCCAATAATAAAATAGTACTAGAAATAAAATCAAACATGTTAATGTCGTAGTAATAATTAAAAATTAAAAAAGGTCTTTTTACATTTAACATTCTATCATTTATTCCTTTTCTTTAATTGATGTCAATGGCAGTTTTAGATTTAAATTCTATTGCTTCTAGGAATGCTTAAGGGATAGAATTTCTCTTACAAATGAAATCATCTTAGAAATAAGAAATATATAAACATGTACTAAGCAATTGCTATGGCTTAGTAGCAGTCAAGGGTGTTTGTTAAATTATGCTTACAGGTGCTTAAGCAATAAAATCAAGTGA